GACATTAGCTTGGGCCCTGGTTATTCACATGTATACAGACAGTGTTTGAACTGCAGCGAACAGCTGCATAGTATTTGCACAATCTTTCAAGATTTTAAAGTTGATTTTTTACTCCAAAATCATTAGATTAAGTCAGTAATAATTCCTTCCACGAGAAAAAATTAGAAAACATTTGTTTCAACAACTTCACAGCCATGTTGTTTATAAATATAAAAAGAACTATGATTGAACGAAATTTTCCCGGAATGCATAATATACCTTTTGATTTTTTTTAAATTATACCGCTAAAATGTTGTTGGTAACTTAATAAGACCATGTGATCAAATCAGATAAAATTTTGTAGAGACTGATGCTAAAAAACAAATATTCAGAGAGTATAGAATAAATTCCGGGAAGAATTTGTCCCGTCGTTCCCGCTTTACAATTAGTGTAACTATTCAGAGGCCCAAGCTAATGTCGAGTAAAAAAAATAAGGCCAATTTTGGAATTGATTTCAGCATATCTCGGGAAGTATAGGGAATTTCGGAAAGAACTTTTGTAGTAACGTAGATTGTTTATATGTGAATAGTTATGAATAGAGAGTAAAGTTTTAGGTCATTTGATTTAAAAGTATTTTATTGGCGAATGTGGGTACCCTATGAAAGGAGTTCCATACCTTTATTTTTTTTTAACACCTTAATTTTTTTTAAAGAGATCTAAGGACCTGTGATTGACACAACACTCAGCAAAATGTGTATCATCAACCATGCAGAATGTCTAACTGATAACCCACCTTTCAAGTAAAATTCTTCTTTCATCATTGTTATTTTCTAATTTGGCCTCCATTTCTGCAAAAATGAAAAGTAAAGTAATACATATACATGTATATGTGTTTGTTTTAAAACATATTCTCTTATTGTGATAACTTATCCCGTTCCTCTGTTTTTTTTAACTTATCTATCTTGATAACTGAGATAACTTATCATGTTTTTCTACTCTGAGTTGATCAATGAGTCGACTTAATAAGTCTCATCCCTATCAGTTGTTCATCAAGTTAACTTACCAATTTTCCCCCTCTGAGTTGATCACTTAGTTGACTTACCAAATTTCCCCATCTAAATTGATCATTGAGTTTAGTCAGTTTACCTTATTTACAAGATTTTCTCCTCTGAGTTGATCATGAGTTGACTTACAAGTTTCTTCCTCTGAGTTCCTTACTCAGTCAACTAACAAAGATTTTCTCCTCTGAGTTGATCACTGAGTTGACTAACAATTTTCGTCTCTCTGAGTTTATTACTCAGTTAACTTACCAAGATTTTTCCTTTGAGTTGATCATTGAATTGATTTACCAAAATTTTCCACTTTGAATTGATCTATGAGTTGAGTCACTAAGTTTCTCCCCTCTGAATTGGTTATTGAATTGACTTCCCAAGTTTCTCTACTCAGATTCAGTTGACTTCTCAAGATTCTCCCCTCTGAGTTGATCATTGAGTTGACTTAACAAGTTTCTCCCCTCTCAGTTGATCATTGAGTTGACTTACCAAGTTTCTCCCCTCTCAGTTGATCATTGAGTTGACTTATCAAGTTTCTCCCCTCTGAGTTGATCATTGAGTTGACCTACCAAGTTTCTCCCCTCTCAGTTGATCATTGAGTTGACTTACCAAGTTTCTCCCCTTTGAGTTAATCATTGAGTTGACTTACCAAGTTTCTCCCATCTGAGTTGATCATTCAGTTGACTTACCAAGTTTCTCCCCTCTGAGTTGATCGTTGAGTTTGTTCGCCTCCTCCAGAGCTGTTTGAGTGGACACTAGATCTCCCCGTATAGTGGTCAAGTTCTCATTTAGAACCGACATCTGAACTTCGAACTTTGCCCTTTCTTCATCTGCTTGTCTCTGAATGTCCCCACGCTCTTGTTCAGCTGCTGTCTGATAAAAACAGAATGTGAACAATTATTAATATAAACATTACTAAAACACTGTGTGGTCAGTTCATATACAGTTGAACTTCGGTATCTCAAACATTGATATCTCGAATACCATGGATATGTCGAAGTGATTTGAAAGTCCCAACCACTAATACCCTGGATATCTAGAATCCTTAGATATCTCGAAGTTTTTTATTGGTCCCAATGAGTTCAAGATAACGGGGCTTGACTGTAACTTAATTCTATGAAGAATACTAGTAATTGTTTTTTCCATAGAAATATTGCAGACTCTGAGATACCCATTCTTCTGAGATGTCAGAAGATCCTTTACTAAATCCTTTTTGCAAGCACAGTTTCTGCTTAACACTAAAAAATTCCAAGCAAAAATCTGGTTAGTAAAACTCTGACTATAGTTTAAACATAAAAAAGTTTTATTATTTGATATATTTTGCTAAGAAAGAAAATCTTGGTCAAAGTGACCATTTTTGCAGGGAACTATATACTAAGTATATACTTAGTATATAGGTCCCTGATTTTTCCTAATTTTTGCAAGAAATACTCGGATGTCACTAGCATGAAAAGTAGGTGACTGACCTACTTATTTGAAAGTGAAATACAGCACCATAGATAATCACAGGTCTACAATGTACAATATGTGATTTTTTTTTTCATTACCCTCTGTAGAATTTTTATACCATCTGAGTAAACATCATCCTCAACTGTCTTCATTCAATACTTTATAATGGTTTAAGAGATGGTGGCCTTAAATTATCAATAGCTTCTAAGGTAAGTCTTGATTGTTAGGGAAAATGGTGCCAAGTTTAGAGGCAATAGCTGTGAAATACTTGTGTGTAATTAAGAAATGCTACATGGCACGTAAAGACAATCGAGTGATCTCTCACTTTAATCTGTTAATTGTCTGAAATGTAGGATGAAATGTTTCATAATAAATGGTTTAACTAATCCACTTTTTTTATGTCGATCATTTCAATGGACAAATGCCTCTATATGTTTGTGGGTGTTGATCTTGTTCATATGTCACAGTTTATGTTTCCTGATTTGTTTTAGTGATTTGAGAATCTAATACACTTTAATTTCCTTGTTAATCTTTGTGGGAGTCCAAATTTTTACCTTACAAAGTTGCTATCTCAAAATTCACTCTAAAGTGGGAATTTATTTCTCAGCTAACACATTTGAAACCTACACTGAGCAATACAAAATTTCACCAATTTTAATTTCTATTTAAATAATTTGATTGAACATAGACTTTTTGATAAATTCTATATATAAACAGTGTCTTTAAAAAAAGCTAGTTTGGCTCCACAAGTCTGTCAATCATTCCAATAAACTCAAACCTTAATGGGAATGCTAGCATATGTTGACTCTTAGTAGCTCTGTAGAAGATTTTGAGATTCTACAAATGTTTCTCAATTGTATCTAAATTGATGAAAATCTTTAACCTCCTCATGACTTGAGCAAATTTGAATTTACACTACACTAGATCAGTGCTAACATATAAATCTGATCAACTGAAGTATGCCTACTGTGTAGATTCCTGACAAAAGAGATTTACTTCTGTGTAAAGTTTACACAGAACATACGTGCATCTTTTTAAAATGAAAATCGTTCTGATCGTTTCTTTACCAGTTTAGTGTGCAGTCTGGAGCTTTCTTCTCGTAAAGTCTGTTGCGTATTTCTAGATGCCTCCATTTCCTCTTTCTGTTTTGACTTAACCTAAAAAAAAATTAAAATACTTCAAACTTGTACAAGTGTCCTGTGCACAATTTACTGTCTTGGTCAAACTCTATGTACACCAAAAAGATGAAAAAAAAATCTTTACCATTATTATCTGTGCATTTCTGAGAGACCACGTTTCATCAGGAAATAAAATTTAATGTGCTAATTTGAAAATGAAACTTAACAATGCTATTTTAATATTAATTTAATATACATACATTAACACCTGGCCAATTTAATAGCAATTAATTTTCAGTTTTATTCAATAGACATCATGTTTTACCTTCATGTTAAAAGCATGTACCTGTTCTAGTTGTTCGTTAAGATCTTTAATTTGATTGGAAATTTCCAACTTCTGACTGATAAGGAGATCTTTCGCCTCTTCAAGACTTTTAACTTCCTGATAATGAAATTAGTTAATATATTTAAGTTTTTTAATTAAAGAAGTTATTAATAAAATATGAAACGTGAATAAAAGCAATTATGACCTAGTTGTCCCTCATACTCCTTTGGCGATTAAGCCCTAAAATACTGAATTCCAATCACCTACCAAATGTACGTACATTGTATATGCCATATGTTAAATATGACTGAATAATACTTAGCTATTAGCTTAGTATTTTTCAGTATGAAAAACACATCAAAAAATTGAACAATTTTATACAAATAAATCTTAATGGTCATTTGGGTGCTTTATATAAAACCCTTTCATAATTGTAAAACTTCAAGGAAACTTGTCTATAGCAAACTTGCATGGTTGCAAGAAATTCTCAGTTAAAAGATTGAAATAATTTGACATTCACTGGAATTTCTTAAGATTGACAATGAATAAAAATTTGGTTTTGAAGAACTTATTATGATAACTGGTTACAACATTAAATCAGAATTATTCCCCCTCATCAATTTTCTACAATCAGCTGTTTATTATCTTTGTGGAGTTTGTTCAAAACCTGAATTTGTTTTATGCAAGTTCACTAAATTCATGAACATTTCTTCCACACACATCAAGTCCTTTTTGTTAATAAAACAAAGAATACACATTCTATAAAAACTAAACTGAAATTACATATTACATAAGAAATGAATTGAAAATACAAAATATATCACAAATGAATTGAAAATACATATTATAATATATAAGAAATAAATTGAAAATACATATTATATAAAAATGAATTGAAAAACATTATTTTATGATATTGTCACACACTTGTTGAACAAAGGAACTGTTTTATGAATACAATTAATGTACATGTATAAATACAAATGGTTATAAGAAGCCTGTTAGGATCAAGAGACTTGTACAGTAAAACACACTTATGGCGAAGTTCCAGGGACCACCAATTTTTATTAATTATAAACATAATTCCTTATATCCGTTCCTTTCACAACACATTTTTAAAACTAAGGGGAATGAAAATCACTTCACTGTAAGCATAAATTCATTATAAGCATGTTCACTATAACTGTGTTTTACTGTATCACGAAAATTAAATATTTGAATTCTTTTCTATGAATTTATTTCGATTGATAATAATAGAAGATACATTAGAGATGATTTTTAAGCCCTGAATTTCAAAGTTGAATTTCTGAGTGTGTTGTCTGAAGCGTTGAAAAAAAAAATGCTCTAACCTGAAATCTCTGATGAGACTGTAGCTCTAATGGTGGGTATACTTATAATAAGAGAAAAGTAGCACATGGACTTGAAACTTAGTAGCAATGGCAACAACAATAAATAAGAACTATGATCCTCGCTTCCGTTTACTTGTGTACCAAGTTTTATTTAATTCAGACCAAAAGCATAAGAGGAGTAACAATTAAAACAAATTCCAACATTAATTATCCCATTTTTAGTAAACACTGCAATAGTGTTCATCTAAATCAAAACCCAATAAACAGAGCTTTATATCTAAGAGTAATTTACTTGTTTATATGTACTAAGTCATATACTAGTATTGAAATAAGATCAAAACTGTAGGAAGAGTAGCATTTTCAAAGAATTTCATAGAAATTCCTATTTTTAGTTACCATGGTACATGTAACACCATTCAATGATATCAAAAACCTATAAACAAAAAATTATGTATCTTAGTATATCTACTTGACAAATGTGTACCGTGTTTTATTGAAATCAGACCAAAACTGTAGGAGGAGTAGTGTTTTGAAAGAGTTTCACACAAATTTTCTACTTTTAGTAACCTCATCATTCTTCCAAATTAAAAACTTATAATGGAACTGTGTATCTTGGTATAGTCTACTTAGTCTTATCGAATCTTATTGAAATCAAACTAAAACCATAGGAAAAGTAGCATTTTGAAAGAATTTCAAAAAATTTCTATTTTAAGTTACAGTGGTAACACCGTTCATTAAAATCAAAAACTGGTATAGAGAATTATGTATCTAAGTGTAGTCTACTTGTGTACAAATTGTAGTTGAAATTAAACCACAACTGTAATTTTAGGTACCATGGTAACAATGTTCATCAAAATTAAAAAACTGATACATAAAATTTTGTATCTCAGTTTACTTGTGTACAAAGTTGGACAAAACTGTAGGAGGAGTATTATTTTGATGAAATTATTTACAAACAGATCTTGACAGCTAGGTAGACAGACGGACAAAGGACACCTTATTAATGCATAAGCTCATCTGGTCTCGTACCAGTAGAGTTAAATATGGATAACATATGCATAACCCCTCCAATTACATGGTGTTTTCATGACAGTTAGGTTATATCATAACTTGGCTTGCTCAAATGTCAAAATCTGCAGCAATAATAATTATTAATTATCATAATGAAAACTAAGTAATAATCTTCATATTTATACTTTCAAACTTTAAAACTTAATTTTATTTCTCTTCAATTGAGAATCATCGTGTTCAAGTTATTAACACTTTAGTTACATCAGTAAAGTTTTTATTTGAAATTACTGTTAGATATTCTCAATTCTTAATGGTATAATTGAATAATATCACTGCAAATCCTACATTTTGCCCCGCATGCATGTCTTTATGATCATGCATCTCTGTGTGTGTACTTTTTTAAAATGCAACCAACGAGAGAGCTTATAAGGATTAAAAATAAATTAAAATATAATGATTATTTCTGTTATTTATCAGAATTATTGGACATGATAGCAAGTCTAGTACATGTATACCATTTTGTAGGATCATAAATTTAAGGCTGGCCATATTTAAAAGATTGTAGGACTAAATAAACATGATTACTTTCAAGTCAAATTTGCTGGACCTAGCTGAAATTTGGTTAGCAATTTGAATGATTTCGTGTTATTTATGAATTTTATGTTTGAAATCATGTCTAGTTCATACATAAATATGTGAGTATTTTTGCACCTTGTATTTGCAACTCTCCAAAGGCTGTTTTGGTAATTATATTTATACAGTGTTTCTAAGGAGTTGCACATTTATCTTATCATATCAAATGACCCCAAAATTTAACAAAAGGCCAATGGGCCTCAATGCTCACCTGAGTAACTTTAGAGCTGCCATTCTTCAGAGATTTTTAAAATACTTTATTTCTCCTTTATAATTCAATGAAAAATTGTGACCCCATATTATGGCCCCAGTCTCACTCTATAAGGGGTAATTCATACAACAAAGGGGTGCTTCAATATCAGCATAACTAACATGGTCTTACCAACTCTAACACAAGGTCCACGATTAAAAAAAAATGAATCCACCCATCTCAGGAATTGCAAAGCAATGTTTCTAAAGAGGTTTTTGAGAAGATTTTTCTAGAATTTTTCTTATATAGTCCCATGTAAAACTTTGATCCCCTACAATGGCAGTTTACCCTGGGGGTAATGATTTGAACCTAGAATCTAGATTTTCAGACTTTTCCCTGTATGAAATATTCCAATAGTTAAATTTGATCCCCTATTGTGGTTCCACCCTTTCCCGCGGAACCATGTTTTGAACACTTTAGAATCTGCATTATGTCTGGAAGCTTTCATTTAAGTTTTCTTTTTTCTGCCCCAGTGGTTTTTGAGAAGATAATTAACAATTTTTTTCCTTTATATTCCTATGCAAAACTTTGATCCCCTATTGTGACCCCCTCCTTTCAACTTTAAAGACAAACAGATGAAAGGACAGACAGATGGACAGAAAAAGGACAACGGGTGACCAGAAAAACTCACTTCAGATTTCAACACAGGTGAGCTAAAACCTCAAATATTGTGATCACTGGCTCATATCAGGCATAATCAAATCATCCATTTTTCAGAAAACACACTTACATATAAAATAAAGATTGTAGTTGTGTATAGTAAAATAAGGACATAACAATTATATACATTTATATGTCTTCTTTTTTACTGTGACATAGGACCTTTTAGAACTAAATTTGGATTTACCAGGAAATTCCTCAGAAAGAAGTTTGATTACCGGTATTTGAAGTATCTAAATATAACTCCTGACCTGTTTTCTCTCTGACTTTTCTCTGTCCAGACTTTTTGTCAGGTTCTCAATATCTTTTTCGTAAGAATCACTGGTGATTTTTGTCTCTCCGTATTTTCTCTCCAGTTCCTCAACTTCAGATTCCAAACTTTCCTGAAATTGACAGGCAACAGCTGTTAGTATTATTTGTGAAGCAACTTAATATAGCTTAGTGAACTCTACTCTGCCAAGAACCAACGTTGTATTACCCATACAAAGAATGGATTTAATTCTTAATTTTAACATGAGTCATGTACATGTAATATACAACAGTATTTGTGTTTCTACTGACACTAATGTTTAAAGATATATATATCTCACTACTCTAACAGTGCAAATTTTCGTGCGGGGGAAATTTTTGCGAATTTTGAGATGAGTGAAGTTTTACAAAATTTATCCCCGTGAACTGTTTTGAAAAAGGAACCATGCTAAACAAGAGGCCCAAGGGCCTTGAATCGCTCTTCTGATAAATTGTACAACCAGTATCACTTCTATTGGAAGCCTTTAAGTATCCTGTATATTTAAATAAAGCCTTGAAATTCCAAGAGTAGGTCTTCATGACCTCCATTTTAGATAAAACACTCTGAGAACCCATGATGATTCTAAGCCAATTAGTATCTGAAGGTAGGTCATGGTCACCTAAATGTACTTATCACTTGTCATTCTCTGAGGACCCAAGATGCATCAGCTAACTAAGTTTGATAATTCTAAGCCAAACAGTACCTGAAATATTTAATATATAAAGCCATAAAACTAGCAAATTTTGTTAATTCTTAACTTCTGCAAAATTAACCCCCATGCAAAGTCTTTTTTACATAGAAATTGCAAAATTTTACTGTAAAATTATCCCCGTTTACAGTATGTACCTTTTCTCCTTTGTATTTTTCTGCCTTCTCTTTGAATTTTGTCAGTTCTTTGTCTAATTGAACCATCTGTGTATTCATTGCGCTCCGAATCTGAAATTAATTTCGTATAAAGTTAATATGTACATTAAATGATGAATTATTTACATGTATATGTAAATTACAAAGTCCAATATCCATTATTAGTTAGCATGTATGCATTGCTGTAATTACATGTACAATAATTGTATATCAGTTTCATACTTGTACACACATTCCATAGGCATACATATACAGCAAAATCTTTTTTTCAAAACCTACTTCTGTGGAATCATTTAAATTTGTTTGGACCAATTTTTGTGGATAGCTTAAAAACTACAAGATTGTAGGAATGTAATATCTCAGTCAAATGTCTCATTATTCATAAGACATTGCAAGTAGATAGACTGTTACTTGGGTAAAAGATCCAAGAAATCCATTACAATTTAACCCCCCGTGAAATGTACTGAACCACACTAGCCTTGAAAAACAGACATTTTTGTTGTTCCCCTTTACTGTACCTCATTAAATTATTTAATTCATTTGCAGGCATTTCAGTAATACATTTATCCATTTATAGTACATGTAATTAGAATGACTCTATATTACAAATGAAAATTGAGCTGCCATATCTTGAACATTGACATCTCAAATACTATGGATATGATGAAGAAAGTTTGAAGTAAAAACAACTTTTTCTAATTGTATCTCAACCTCATTATCTCCAATCCTCAGACACCTCTCAGTTTTTTCTAGGTACCATCAATTAGAGATAATGAGATTTGACGTAAGTGCTTTTCTATACCTCGCTCAGCTCATCAAATGACTGGTTGAGTTCTGTCACTTTTTCTTTGGAGTCGGTTAGCTCCCTTTGAAGTTCTTCCGTCTTCCTTTGGAGATCTGTTCTCTCTGATCTCAGTCCTTCAGTTTCCTTAACAGATTTCTCTAACTTCTCTTGGAGCTCCTGAGAAGCGAAAGACAATAATGAGATTTTAATGCAATTTACCTCATCTACTGTGTGATAAAGGAGTAAATGTAGAAAAAAAAACATTATCTTCCTCCTACAGAAATTTGTTCACCAAAAAAAGACACTAAACAAACAAATGGTAATTTCTGGAGTTACATATGTATTTTAATTTTTTTCATTTGAATTTTATGCATAAAAGACAGCACTCTAAATTTTGTTATTTCCTTAGTATGAATATGTCATACTAAAGGAAGGGGAATTTTATGATTTCAATTTCAGTAATTTTAAGTAAACAGCAGATTGAATAGAAATTACCTACTTATGGTATTCAACTCATGCGACCAATCAATATTTTGATCCCCCCCCCCTCCCCAATTGTAAACTCCTAAGGTAAACAGGACCTATCCCCATGTCATTTTGTAGTTATATATCTTGTTCTACCTTTGTCTGTTCCTGGAGTTTTTCGGACTCAGACACTTTCTCCTGTACCATACTTTGTAGTTCCTGTATCTTCAGATCACTTATCTCCTTCTGTAGGCAAAATTTTTAACAAAAGATTAAAATAAAAAGAAGTTTTCTAAATAGACTGGAATTCATATACATGTAAATCAATACCATTTAAATAAAAATAGTTCAGGGTTCTCCATCTTTTAATAGTTTACTGTGGTGCCTGAACAGAGTTTTTGAAGATCAATAAAATTTTTGTTATGATGACAGACAAAACCAAATGTTGGGGTAAAACAAAGTTTTAATTCATGTTAATTTTTGTTTTCTTGTACAACAGTCAAAATGGTCCATGGAAAACTCTGCAGTTTAAATGATAATCATTGAGATGAATCGTTTTTAATTCATCCTTGTTGCAAATTCAAAGAAAGCCTTGTACAGAATATTCAGGACATCAACAAACACCTACCTGCTGAGCCAGACTTTCTTTCTCATCCTCCAATTCCGACCTCAACTTCTCAATGGTTCCTTCTAATTCTCTCTTTCTCGACTCAAAGTCAGAGATCTATAAAAATAACACATTGTCAAGTTCCCTGTAAAGTCAAACTATCACAACTAAGATAAGAATCTTGGAACTTGACTATGTTTTGTTGAATATAGCATAATATTGCTTCCGCTTTAGCAAGTAAATCCATATAACATGCCTTTTTTTCTTCTTTGATTCTTTTTCAACAAGAAGTATTAAATGTGATAGATCACAATTCTAACCCCCCCCCCCCCCCACTCTGAATTTTAGGCAGTTCAACTACCACCTGAGTCATCTGGCCACCAGCAAAAAAAAAAAAAAAACTGCTTGACCAAAGACACAAACCAAGGTTCATGTTTGACAGGCTTCTTGACTTATCAATCCACCTACATGACAACTAGGAGAGAAAATGCCACAGATCAAATAAGTATTCAAACTTCCTTCCCCGTCCTCCCTCCCTAGAGGCACTCTAGACAGATTCTCTACCAACTGGGCTATCTAGCCACTGAAAAACCAGCCTTAATGACCACCACACTCCTGCCTCCCTAAATGTTCCCCCCTCCCCAAGATGACAATTCAACTCAGACTTTCCCCCGACAGGTTTTTCATATGCTACTCCTAGACATGGCACCAACTGTTACAATAAGTGAGAAAACACACAGGACCACATTAGGATTTGTTTCCAGGCTCCATGAGTTCTAGTCAGGATCTCTATCAACTGAGCTATCTGGCCACTAATAATTGAATGATTCTGACTGCCACATTTTTAATTATGGTTTATTTTTACTTGCTATCACTGACAGGATCAAAAGCTTTAGATGGTAGACTGTACAAAGTTCTTACCTTGCTCTTGAGGGTATTTTCAGACTCTGTCTTTGAAGAGAGTGATTCCTAAAACAAAGAAACATGAAAATTTCTGCATGTTGTTAATACATGACACCAGAATCTCTGAATGAAGAATATCAAATAAAGGATGAAGATTACCTAGAGGATTTTTTTCATTACAGCATACTTAGATATATTTTATCCCCATGTATAAATTTCCATACTTTAAACATATCAATTACAGCTATCTACTCTTATTACAAGAGACAATTCATTTTTAAAGACTATTGCTCCATCAAACAAACCAAACTGTATACATGTACAAGTGCACTTATGTGCATTAAACATGTAAATCTTTTGTACGAACAGTATCATTTAAAAAAAAAATGTTCATTATTGCATTATCCAGTAATTCAGCCTGTTAGGTTTGCCTACCCTCTCTTTGTTGAGCTGGGACCTGACATCGTTTAGTTCCACCGAGACGGCATTCATTTCTGCTCGCAGTTCATCCTCCTTCTTCTTATATTCATTCTCTAATGTTTTCTGTTTTAAGAAAAAATCATTATTCTAACAACATTAACCATGCTTGAAGTTTCAAAAACTTGAAGTTTTCTCATGGTACCACCGTGTTCAAGATAACAAGGTTTGACTATAGTACTTTCAAATACTAACTGTCAGTGAATATAATGAAGATATAATGACTAATGCAATTTAGCTTGGATCTGAGGATTGACAATACCCATGTTTTACTTGACCTATGATTAACCCCATACTTATCAACCCATACCCACCTTCTCCATGACATGTGTGTCTACTGTGTCTCTGAGTTCTTATACTCACCTTCTCCTTGACATGTGTGTCTACTGTGTCTCTGAGTTCCTATACTCACCTTCTCCTTGACATGTGTGTCTACTGTGTCTCTGAGTTCCTATACTCACCTTCTCCTTGACATGTGTGTCTACTGTGTCTCTGAGTTCTTATACTCACCTTCTCCTTGACATGTGTGTCTACTGTGTCTCTGAGTTCCTATACTCACCTTCTCCTTGACATGTGTGTCTACTGTGTCTCGGAGTTCTTATACTCACCTTCTCCTTGACATGTGTGTCTACTGTGTCTCTGAGTTCCTATACCCACCTTCTCCTTGACGTGTGTGTCTACTGTGTCTCGGAGTTCTTATACTCACCTTCTCCTTGACATGTGTGTCTACTGTGTCTCTGAGTTCCTATACTCACCTTCTCCTTGACATGTGTGTCTACTGTATGTCTGAGTTCCTATACCCACCTTCTCCTTGACATGTGTGTCTACTGTATGTCTGAGTTCCTATACCCACCTTCTCCTTGACATGTGTGTCTACTCTGTCTCTGAGTTCCTATACCCACATTCTCCTTGACATGTGTGTCTACTCTGTCTCTGAGTTCCTATACCCACATTCTCCTTGACATGTGTGTCTACAGTGTCCCTGAGTTTCTATACTCACCTTCTTCTTGACATGTGTGTCTACTGTGTCTCTGAGTTCCTATACCCATCTTCTCCTTGACATGTGTGTCTACTCTGTCTCTGAGTTCCTATACAGTACCCGCATCGTTATTCTTTACAGGATATACGATACGATAGGATACACGCACGATACGATAGGATACACGCACGATACGATAGGATACATGCATGATAGGACAGGATACACTTACGATAGGATAAACGCAAAACACGATAAACGCAAAATACGATAAACGCAAAACACGATAGACCTGATAAACGATCTTCACGATAGGATAAACGCAAAACCTGATAGGATTGTTTCAAAATGCGAAACGTTTTTTGACAAGACGAAAAGTTTCCTTTTTAGTAGTTTAATAATTTTAATTACTTACAAAGCCGCAAATCTAAATGATTAAATATATTAATTTTATCGTGATAAAACATTTGAGGTAATGGTGCTTTGTAAAAGATAAATGTACGTTTTTTCGTCAATAAAACTGATCGTCATCAAATTCAAACTGTAATTATTTAAAATTAATTCCAATCTATGAAGCAAATTAGTCGATTGTTTGTGTAATTATACAAATGTCGAAATTTCATCGAATCGTTAAATTTGAATTTTGAATCGTTTAATTACGGAGATTTTAATTTATAGGTGGCTCAAAAATTCTGTAGACAAGCAAAGTTTTACACCAATGTGCAATAGATTCACGAAACGCTATAAATATATTCATTATTTTAACAAATAAAACCTTATGAAATTCCTAACAAACATTGATTATTTTTATGGAAGAACTCCATGTAAAAAGTGAAATATTTAGATTCAATATCTGTGCTAGAAGTCTGCGATGTATCCAAAATCGCCTTTAATAATCTTTAATTAATAATTCAAATCTTACAAAAAAAATTACTTGTCATAATTTTGGGGAGGGGGGGGGGGTCGAAAAAAAAATGTCATTATTATTATTATTAAATGTTAATGCTTTCTCCTCAAAGTTTTTACGAACTTGTTTAAATTTATATTTTATATAAATTAATTTTATTTGTATTACATTTTAAACACATGACTTGCTGAAATTGCTAGTTGCATTGACACAGACTGAGCACTGGACTGTGATTAAATAATCTCTCCTATATATAAATATATATGTTACACAGATCCCGTGCACATAGAAAGTATTTACATATTCCAAGTACATACATTGTATAAAATTATTTATATATGTGGAAGGAGACCAGCCGAAACAAATCGAATTCAATAAAATTAATAAACGTCACTAGATCTGTCATCATCTTTTATCCGAAAAAAAATCCGCATTTCCATTCTTTTGTATTTATTCTCTGGTATTTCTAATACTATAGGCATGTAAGATTAAGAAGGGAGCATGTAGTCGTATACCTAAAAAAGTTACAGTATAGCAACATGTGTAGTATACAGTAGAAATATAATGATAATATTGCCCATCAACAATAATAATGTCTTTAGCCTCTTTTGTTTGCTTTTCAAAACATTTCTTTTTAGACCCTCACCCCCAAAGAAATGAAATTGCTTTCTACGCATGCCTGTGTTATAAACATTTACAATAACAGAATTTGTATCTACTATAGACGCGTGTATGCTAAGCTTACAATGTACGTGAATATATTTATAGGGTACTTTAACTTTGTATTAAATAAATAACATTGAATTATTACATACTCTTGTTTACAACATATTAGAACATACACACACACACACACAAAAATAATTTCCACAATACGAGAAGTGGATTTTTGGACTGAATAATTGTAAATTATTGCTATTAGACTTTGTATTGATCGTTAAAAAAATCATCTTATATAGAACTACATCGGCAAAATTAGACAAAACTTTGTAATAAATTATGAAAGTCTTAATCCCACTTAAGGCATAGACAGCGGGGAAGAAGGGGGGGGGGGGGGTCCTTAACCACTAAAAAAAAGATCCGATTCAAAGAGCATAAAATAAATAAATAAATAAATAAATAAATAAATAAATAAATAAATAAATAAATGAAAATATATATTGACTTCTTGAATATAGTCAAGTATTAAATGCAATCAATAAACACTAATATTAAATTCAAGGTATTTACTCGTCTTGTGTATCACGGCAGATCCGGGCGATTTCTTTTAATTTTTTTTTACATGTATCTTTGAGGCGCCTTTAATAAAAAAAAAATCCTGCGAGGCAAAGTTCATATTTTTCTGCTAAGAATTATTTAGCATATTCTTCGATTATTAGAATGTTTCTTTTTTTATTTTACATAGAAAACCCGAAGATCCGGAAGTACCACAAGCGCATTTTTTTTATTTGATCACACCAATAATGTTTAATACTGTAAACCTATAAAAGTAATATAAAAGTATACAAATGAACTAAATCAACGGAGTTTGGGGGCAAAACTCACCTATATTTTATTTGATTCATTTATTAAATTTTTGATCTGTAACGGAAGTGTACATTTACCAATTTTCTTAGTACAAAATCTTTAATTGTTAATTTAGTGTTGTTCAAACGATATCCAGAAAATAAGAAGAAGCATTTCATTGAAACCTGACACCAGGTGAGAGAGGAGTTCAGGTATGTCGACGTTGAATACACACGGGCCAGTCATGTAGGGGGAAAGGGGGTGGATTCTTGAAATGACAAGAAGACAGTGTACTGTTTAGGCAGGTACATATAGGTGTCAGTTCTCTTGTCACGGAAGCGCTTCCACCTGTCACTTAATTACGGTGTATACATGTATACTCACTTCATTTCCACGTCGAAATAGGTAAGTTGTATGATAAAAATAAGTATGGTTTTGTTTATTTGTTTATTTAGTTTTTGTTTTTACATCTTCTAAATGCAGTAGTCAAATATCAATGGCAAACATCTATATTATAATATATAATTATCATATGATAAATTGAATGGAGCATGTTCATGTAAAATAAACTGTAATTTAACTTGCTGACACATCAGAGAAACAAATAAATAAAAAGGATCAACAAAACTTGCCCGCATAGACAAAATTTATAATTCCGTTATTGATAGAAAGGATTGACTTACATGTAATAATGATGCTGCTATTTTTTTTATTTATAATTTATTTTTGCACACATACCTACTGCTTAATGTTTCTATAATTATCAAAACAAAGTTAATAAAGGTCTTGCTTTTGTGACTCTGACTGTGTAAAGGAGTTATAAATCGACAAATTAAAGAAGAAAAAAAAAGAATGAGTAATAGATGGATTATTTCATGTCCAAAAATAGAATTTGACTTTCGATTTACACTCTCTGCTTGGTCACGGTACTTGACATTTATTATTTATTTATTTATTTATTTATTTCCTAAACAAATATACCAGAGTTAGAGTATTAATTTGTGTTTCTGTCCAACAGTTAAATTAATCCTTAATAAATTAACAAAACGAAAAATGAACTCGGGATACCTTGGGTGTTTCTTCTCAAGGTAAAGATAAAAAGCAAGGGTTTCCGAATGCACACGATAAACGCAAAACACGATACACGATAGAACCTGATAAACGATCTTCACGATAAACGCAAAACCTGATAAACGGAAAACACGATACGATAGGAAACGATAGGATACACGCACGATACGATAGGATACACGCACAATACGATAGGATAAACGCAAGATAGGACACGATAGAATTGTAAAGAATAACGATGCGGGTACTGTACTCACCTTCTCCTTGACATGTGTGTCTACTGTATGTCTGAGTTCCTATACTCACCTTCTTCTTGACATGTGTGTCTACTCTGTCTCTGAGTTCCTATACCCACCTTCTCCTTAACATGTGTGTCTACAGTGTCCCTGAGTTCCTATACCTACCTTCTCCTTGACATGTGTGTCTACTGTGTCTCTGAGTTCCTATACCCACCTTCTCCTTGACAAGTGTGTCTACCGTGTCCCTGAGTTCCTATACCCACCTTCTCCTTGACATGTGTGTCTACTGTATGTCTGAGTTCCTATACTCACCTTCTTCTTGACATGTGTGTCTACTCTGTCTCTGAGTTCCTATACCCACCTTCTCCTTGACATGTGTGTCTACAGTGTCCCTGAGTTCCTATACCCACCTTCTCCTTGACATGTGTGTCTACAGTGTCCCTGAGTTCCTATACCCACCTTCTCCTTGACATGTGTGTCTACTGTATCTCTCAGTTCCTATACTCACCTTCTCCTTGACATGTTTGTCTACTGTGTCTTTGAGTTCCTTTTCTTTTGCCTTCATGGAAGCCTCTAATTCTACAATTTTTTTCTCCAATCCAGACTTTTCTTCAATTAATTTTAATTTTTCATCTTTGGCTGTGTCAATCTACAGACAGATTGAATGAAATTCTCAATACATGTGATCATCTTATCACAGTGTACATGTTGAAATTATTAATGGTTATTAGTGTACATGTACATATATGTGACACAGGTAATGTAACCAGAATCCCCTGCCACACACCATGCACCTGTTGTTTTATGTATTGTTCCTGTTGTTTTATTTACTATATCTGTTGTTTAGTGTTCTATACTTGTTGTTTTATGAACTGCACCTGTTGTTTTTACGTAGTTTTCTTTGTTATGTGTACTGTACTTGTTGTATTATGTACTTTACCTGTTGTTTTATTTACTGCACTTGTTGTTATATGTAATGCACCTGTTGTTATATGTACCTGTTGTTATATGTAATGTACCTGTTGTTATATGTAATGCACCTGTTGTTATATGTACCTGTTGTTATATGTAATGTACTTGTTGTTATATGTAATGTACCTGTTGTTTTATGTAATGTACCTGTTGTTATATGTAATGCACCTGTTGTAATATGTTATGTACCTGTTGATTTATGTACTGCACCTTTTGTTATATGTAATGTACCTGTTGTTATATGTAATGTACCTGTTGTTATATGTAATGTACCTGTCGTAATATGTAATGTACCTGTTGTTATATGTAATGTACCTGTTGTTACATGTACTGTACCCATTGTTATATGTAATGTATCCATTGTTATATGTATTGTACCTGTCATTATATATAATATACCTACATTGTTTTATGTACTGTATCTGTTGTTATATGTAATGAACCTATTGTAATGTACCTGTTGTTTTATGTACTGTATCTGTTGTTACATGTAATGAACCTATTGTAATGTACCTGTTGCCATATGTAATATTCCTGTTTTTTTATGTACTACACCTGTTATTATATGTTATGTACCTGTTGTTATATGTTAGGCACCTTTTGTTATATGTAATGTACCTGTTGTAATATGTAATGTACCTGTTGTTATATGTAATGTACCTGTTGTTATATGTACTGTACCTGTTGCTATATGTAATGTATCCATTGTTATATGTTAGGTACCTGTTGTTATATGTAATGTACCTGTTGTTATATGTAATGTATCCATTGTTATATGTAATGTACCTGTTGTTATATGTAAATGTACCTGTTGTTATATGTACTGCACCTGTTGTTACATGTACTGCACCTGTTGTTATATGTAATGTACCTGCTGTTATATGTAATATACCTGTTGTTATATGTTAGGTACCTTTTGGTATATGTAATGAGCCTGTTGTAATGTACCTGTTGTTTTATGTAATGTACGTGTTGTTTTATGTACTGTACCTGTTGTTATATGTAATGTATCCATTGTTATATGTAATGTACCTGTTGTTATATGTAATGTACCTGTTGTTATATGTAAATGTACCTGTTGTTATATGTACTGCACCTGTTGTTACATGTACTGCACCCGTTGTTATATGTAATGTACCTGCTGTTATATGTAATATACCTGTTGTTATATGTTAGGTACCTTTTGTTATATGTAATGAACCTGTTGTTATATGTAATGTATCCATTGTTATATGTTAGGTACCTGTTGTTATATGTAAAGTACCTGTTGTTATATGTAATGTATCCATTGTTATATGTAATGTACCTGTTGTTATATGTAAAGTACCTGTTGTTATATGTAATGTATCTGTTGTTATATGTACTGCACCTGTTGTTATATAATACATCTTTTGTTTTATGTATTGTACCTGTTATTATAAGTAATGTATCTATTGTTAAATGTCCTGTATCTTTTATATATGTACTTTTTCCCTGGGGTCATAATTCAGCGGATTCACAATTTCTATTAAATCTATGGGTAGCAAATTACAGATTTCTTGAATTGCCATTGTCTGTTTTGCATGCTCTTTAAGTATGCTGCGACAAATTTCTGCGGAAAATTGGTGACAGTGTACAGTGTTAATTAATCCAACGCAGAAAAAGAACTTCATTCTACAGTATTTGTAAAGCATGTTTCTGTTGTTATATGTAAGGTACCTGTTGTTTTATGTATTGTACCTGTTGTTTTATGTAATGTACCTTTTGTTTTATGTAATGTACCTGTTGTTTTATTAATCTAAGTTTATTAATCTAAGTAGGACAAACATCATATTACGCATTAGTTCGTCAAAATTAGTGTCTCGTCTCATGCCTAATTTTCTAATTTTCACTATGTCTACAAATTTATTATTTGACAGTTAATGTTAATTATTTTAAGAGACAGGCAACATAATGTTGAAATAACAATCAATTATCACCTTGCAGTAAAAGTGTCACCTGAATATACACTGTACATCCTGCTACATGGGTCTTGCGTCTAACACCTGGAGCCATTCAAATGTTCAGGTGAAAGTGTTAATTATGTAACTTGCGTACACATAACCACTTCGAGGTATTGAGGGTAAATTACAACAGATAATGTATGAGGGGATTGCAGTTTGTCTCAAGAGATCAAGGGTTTGAGAGGTTGAAAGTTTGAGAAATCAAAAATAAATTTGCTTACTATATATATATGGGAAAAAAGACTGAAGACTCACTTTGAGCAATCAAGAACTTCGAGAGATTGAAGTTCGAGCCATCAAGAGTTACCTGTACATTTTATGTATTGTATGTACATTTTATGTATTGTACCTGTACATTTTATGTATTGTACCTGTTGTTTTATGTATTGTACCTGTTGTTTTATGTATCGTACCTGTTGTTTTATGTAATGTACCTGTTGTTTATGCAAGTCAATACTGTTGTTGTATGTAATACAGGTAACTCTTGTAACTCTCGATACCTCAAAGTCTGCAAGACTCTGGAAAAACTTCGAGAGATCAAGAGTTTGAGTTTTCAAGAGTCAAGAACTTTTCTGGGTTGGATTTAAAATTAGTCTAGCCAGATGTTATGATTCCCATTCCAGTGCTATATTACACATGTGCTTTAACAACTGTACTCCTTTGTACTTTTCTGGTCAATATACAGATAAGGATGGGTTGTTGTTTAAACTGAATAAAACAAAAAATGTATAATGTCATGAAATTTATTAATCTAAGTAGTTCGTCAAAATTAGTGTCTTGTCTCATAACTAATTTCTAATTTTCACTATGTCTACAAATTATTATTTGACAGTTAATGTTAATTATTTTAAGAGACAGGCAACATAATGTTGAAATAACAATCAGTTATCACCTTGCAGTAAAAGTGTCACCTGAATATACATCCTGTTACATGGGTCTTGCGTCTAACACTTGGAGACATTTAAATGTTCAGGTGAAGGTGTTAATAAATATGTAACTTGCGTACACATAGCCACTTCAAGGTATTGAGGGTAAATTACAAAAGATTATGTATAACGGAACTGCAGTTTGACTCAAGACATCAAGGGTTTGAGAGGTTGAAAGTTCGAGAAATCAAAAGTACATTTGCTTACTTAGATGTATGTAGGGAAAAAAATTGCAACCAAAGACTCACTTCGAGTAATCAAGAACTTGGGGAGATTGAAGTTGGAGCCATCAAGAGTTACCTGTACATTACCTGCTGTTGTAAACTGTTTTGTTTTTCCTGTGCTGTTCTCTGAGCCTTGCCCCCCTCCTCCTGTAATCTCTTCACCTCAGAAGAATGAGTCTGCTCCATCTGAAAAAAAAGAATCATGAGCCCACATTTCCTCTGGCCAAGACTATTAACTAAAGGTTTATGTACAGAACAATAGCATTGTAAAAAGTCTTCAACAGATATAAATTTTTAAGGAAACCATTGCTCGGAAGATTTACTTTTGTTACAGTAGCCTTCAGTTCTTCTAACTTTGTCATGATCTCATCCTTCTCTGTCTTTAGAGTCTCTATTTCTCTGGACTTCTCTTCTACAGCTTTATCCTTAGAGTCTACATCAGATTTCTGTGAAGAAGGAAAACACACATATCAAATAAAATGATTGTTTACCAGTTTTTTTTTTATTGTTTAAGTAATAACTTACTCAATATTCAAACACTGTTATTCTTCGATAATCTTTTTTTTTTCACTTTTATCTGGATATGCTATGACAATTGATATCTGCTTAGAAACATTTCTCTCAGAGGAAGTTTAATAGTCTACCAGGTTTTCTGGGGCATGTACTAAATCAAAATTAGACTTCTACCTCAATTTTAACAACTAAAAGAGTTAACAAGTAAATAATTATGTTAGTATTCATTAAGTTTGCTGACCAGCTGAGTGATCTGTGTTCCTAAGGCTTTCTTTTCCGTCATCTGTTTCTCTACCTCTCCTTTTAACTTGTTCGCTTCTGTTTCATGGGCTTTTTTCTCCTACAAAGATTACCAAAACTTTTCATTTTGTAATTTTTTTTCAAGACAATCATGTGTTCCTTCTTAACAAAGATTGAACATTCTACTTGAACTGAATGTTACTGAATAAAGCCATACCGGTGTTTTTGCTGCCATTTTCTTTAGGCTTTTTTCACATTATAATAAAACTTTGGAAAAACAAGAGGCCTAAGGGCCTAGAATCATTCTTCTGATAAATTGTACAACCTATCACTTCTATTATTATCACTCCTATAAGTATCCTGTATATTTAGATAAAGCCTTGAAATTCCAAAAGTAGGTCATCATGACCTAGATTTTGGTTACTATAGATTCCTTATTTTACGCGAGTACTTAATATCGTGAAATGGCTAAAGGGCGTCAAATCGCGAGAAAAATAATTCGCGAATGGGTGATTTATCTAGAGATTTTACATACATTAAAGCACCATAAAAATAAAAGCGAGTAATTTTATTTCGCGAGTGGTGCTTCTCGCGTAATTACACGATAATTTATTCCTCGCGTATATTTAGGAATCTACAGTAATTAGATTTTGGTTAAAACACTCTGACAGGGATTTATCAGTACCTTCTTAGGGGCCGAAATTCGGCCCCATTCCCAATTGAAAATGAGTTCAGTTTTTCCCAATTTGGCAGTATTTTTTCCCAACTGGTGAACAATGCTTTTATGTTTAATTATCTTGGAAAAACACAAAGTAAAATTGTCAGATTGTCTGGAATTTTCATTTATTTAACTCATTTAGGAAAGCTACAGTCATAACGCATGTTTAAAAACACTGTAAAAACATCGCCAACTTTTAATTCGAATTTCCTCCGTTTTTCTGAAAATGGTGATATTGTGTGATTCTATAGAATTATTAAGTTATTTTCACCTACTCAATTGATCTACGAGTGAATGGTAAGTACTGAAGGTATTATTTCAGATAGAAAAATATATTTTCATTGCATTAATACATATTAAATGAGGACTTTGAGAAAATGTGTATATTTGTATAATTTTTTGCAGGTTTATAATCTCCAGAAACAGATTCTATAATGACCTAAATTGGAATCTCATACACACATGTACTACCCTAAGTTGTATTGATACTTTATACTCATTGAAATCAATTTTACTTTTATTAATCTATTATTGATTTCATAATTGATCTTGTTTGATGAAGTTGGATCATATTTATTTGTCTGTTGAATTGCCCAAATTAGAGTTCATGATGAAATGTTAAATTAATTACACTTGAATTTATGATTTAAGCAACACTTTAAAATTTTCCCAATTTCATCAAATAGTCGATAATTTTTCCCAATTTCCCAAAAATGGCATTTCCCAAAATAGGCTGATAAATCCCTGCTCTGAGAACCCAGGATGAATCAACTGACAAACTGTGATGATTCAAAGCCCCTTATTATCTTAAATATTCAGATATAGCATGAGATTCCAAAAGTAAGTCACAGCCATAAAATTTCGAAAGTAGGTTACCATGATCTACTTTATGGTTGACATTCTCCAAGGACCAAAGATGCATCAACTGACAAAGATTGATGATTCTTAGCTAATTAGGATGTGAAATATTTCAATATATATAGCCATAAAATTTCAAAAGTAGGTCAATGTGACCTAATTTATGCTTGACATTCTCTGAGGACCAAAGATGCATCAATTGACAAAGTTTGATGATTCGAAGCCAATTAGTATCTGATACATTTAAATATAGCCATAAAATTTCAAAAGTAGGTTATCGTGACCTACTTTTTGGTAGACATTATCTGAAGACCCAACATGCATCAACTGACAAAGATTGATGATTTGTAGCCAATTAGGATGTGAAAATTTTCAAATATAGCCATAACATTTCAAAAGTAGGTCACCTTGACCTTCTTTTTGGTCAACATTCTCCAAGGACCCAAGATGCATCAACTGACAAAGATTAATAATTCTAAGCTAATGAGGACATGAAATTTTAAAATATAGCCATAACATTTCTTAAGTAGGTCACCGTGACCTACTTTATGGTAGACATTCTCTGAGGACCCAAGATGCATCAATTGACAAAGTTTGATGATTCTTAGCCAGTAAGTACCTGAGATATTAGGTTGATGTTCTCCGAAGACCCAAGATGCATCAACTGACAAAGTTTAATGAGTATAGGTCTGAAAGTGTCCAAAATATGCCTCTAAAACAATTTGAAAATGAATGCCTGCAAAATTCAAAAAGTAGGTCACTGTGACTTACTTTTTAATATATATGTTTTAAGGCCCTAAGGCGCATCAATTTACAAGGTTTGATGATTCAAAACTTTTCAGTATTTGAAATAATGACCCTTAAATGTTTTGAAAATGATTAGCCATTAAGTTCAAAAAGTGGGTCAAGGTGATCTACTTTTCAGTTGACATACTTTGAGGGCCCAAGATGCATCAACTGACAAAAATTGATGATCATAGGCCTTAAAGTGTTCAAAATATGCCTCCAAATCAATTTGAAAACGAATGCCCGCAAAACTAAAAAAGTAGGTCATCATGACCTACTTTTGAGTCAACATGATATGGTGTCCTAAGATGCATCAACTGACAAGATTTGATGATCCTACTCCTTATAGTAAGCAAAATATAAACATTTTAATAAAATGTAATTTTTGGTCAACTTTGAAGTGACCTTGAGACCATGCCCTTTGTCCCAGGGTAATGCCTTGAACAATTTTTAATCTTCACCATATGCTCATCCTAGTGTGTAAGTTTAGTGATAATCTGCCCAGTGGTTCTTGAGAAGAAGATTTTTAGCAACCAGTACTTTTGGTTTTATTAACCTAATTATCTCCCCTTGTTTAAGGGTCACAACCCTAGTTTTAGTATGAACGGGAGCCCTTGGGCCAAGAATACCCTTTGACAAATTTGACAATAATTGGCCAAGGGGTTCTTGAGTTATGGCCCATATTCTAAAAATTTTACGCACACTGCACGCCACACACCGCACAAATGGCCATAAAGCATTAGCTCTTTGAGCCTTTGGCTCAGAAGAGCTAAAATTAACATACACATGTACATAATGAAAACCAATAAAAAAGGGATAGAACATATCGTGAGTTCGAGTGGAATGAAAAGAAATTTAGTTTTGAACACGCACAAGCAGTACTATGTGAGGCCAAAGTAAATAAATATTGTGTTTCCTATTCCAACCCAAGAAAAAAATAGGGTAGGTAGGTAGGGAGAACATTTTATTTTATTTTAACATTTTATTAGTTAAAATTCAACTTTGACAATAAACAAACAGATTTCTCATAGTGAAAATGGAACTGTTTACTTCCGGAAAGATATCAACAGATAAATTTTTCAGGGTGGGCTCATATATTTTAGGGTCGGTCGGGTAACCGGAAACACACAATTTATTTATCTAAGCCTTATATAAAGACTGTCTACAGTTTCCTTTAGAAAATACAACCATATTCCCACTCATTACAATATGCTGGACATTGCAGTTAAATTATTTCATTTATACACTGTATAAGACTTCATTTATACACTGTATAAGACATTTTTAATCCTACTCTCATCATGATAATAAACATCTTATATAAACACGTATTTATTAAAATATTAATAACTTCAAAATCTCCAACTCACGAATGCCACAAATACTCTAATGAAAATGTAGATCACTCAGTGTGGAGTGCAACTACACTTTCATAATTAAGTTTCTCTGTACTTACAGAGTTTAGGTTCTTTTCCATTTGCGCCTGTTGTTTTTTAAGTTCCTTGTTATTCACCTTTTCTGCATTCAGCTGACTTTCTAGATCTTTGACTTGGGATGAGCTTTTATCATAAGCCGATGTCTAATTAGTTCAAAACGAATAATACATCATGTAAATCTATTCAACATCTTTTTTATTTGTGCTGTAAAGCAGGAATTTCTTTTTTTATTTAATACATGTACAGTAAATCTCGGTTATTAAGAATTCAGTTATAAAGAAATTTCAATTATAGGGATTTTTTTCCCTAGGCGACTTTTCATATGTTCCTTATACAAATATAAAGAAACTCGGTCATAAGGCAGTAAAATTCGAAGTCCCAGTGACTTCCTTATAAGGAAGTTTTACTGTACTTGTATTTTTGTATAATTTAAGATTTAAAGATTTATGGTTCACATGACCCTGTGCAGAATACCTTCTCTCTGAGCTGACGTTCCAACACGACAGTCTGTTGTGACAGTGCATTGATTTTTTCTTGTTGTTCCTTGATGGAGCTCTCTAAGGTTGCAATCTTCTCTTTTTTAGAACTAACTTCCTGTGAAATCTGTAAAATTTTCAAAAACAAATATTCTTCACTTAAACTGTTATTGCTAGTAAAGTTTTACATATTTTCATAATTGTATATACAAGTTTATATGTATGTGTGCCTTTCTATGAAAACTGCAATTGTCAAATTTTAAAATATGCTCCTTAAAAATATTTTCTCTAACCAAAAGAACTATAGAGATACTGTACATAAGCATTAAACAACTGAACCTGTTCTATCTGTTTTTGAGCTTTGGCAAGCTCCCCAGACTTTTCCTCTAACATGTTCTGTGAAGTTTTGATGTGATTTTCTAAGTCGGCACGTTGACTTGTGCGTGCTGCTTCTGCCGCAATGAGGAGTTCACTCTGTTTAAGACACAATAAATTGAGGGATGTGTGACACTGCTTTTTAGACTTTGATTGAACATTTTACGTAAATCCTCCCTCTCCCCCCTCAAAAAAAGAAAAAAACAAAACAAAATGAGAAGAGAAAATATGTTCAGGAGAAATGTTAACCTTTGTCTTCAAGTCACCCTCAAGCTGTTGAATTTTCTGCTGTGCGGCCTGAATTTTTTCTGTTTTTTCTTCCAAAACTGATTTCTGTTTTTGTGCTTTGTCCTGGGCTGTCTGCAGTTGACCTTTCACCTCATTCAGTTGTTTGTGGAGATTTTCGATTTTCTGTCCACTCTCTGACTTCTGTGTGCTCAGTGACTGCTCTAAGTGAGATATTTTTTCTTGGAGTATTGTCTGGAAAATACAGGTAAATTTAAGTTTTATCGCATTCCATATTGGACAATAATTGTATGTATGCATGTATCAATGAAACAGATATCAGAGTAAAAATAGCACATTTTCCAATACCTTTTCTTGCTTTAATTGATTAATTACAGTCTCTGTTCCCTCACCAGCCTCAATCTGCAAAAAAAGGTTTATTATTCATTGACTTAAAAAAAATCAGAAAAAACCCAAAGATTCACATTTAAAATAGCATTCTAATGGTGACTTTATCACTGTACAAAGCAAGGTAACTCTTCCATTTTCAGATGATCACAAACCTTAGCTATGAGATCCGTTCTCTCTGACTCCAGTCTACCCATTTCTTCCCTCAGTGATCCAAGCTGGGAATCCAACTCTGTTATCTTCTGGTCTCTATGTATATTGTTTAATATAAGCATCAATTTTTTAGTAACATTTTGAATTCTTTGCTTTGTATACTTGTACAGTCAAACATGGTTGAAAATGAAAATATTTTCAGTATTTACCATTTCCACAAAACGCATATAATATTAAAATACTAGCAATGACTGAATAAGTCAAGTTTTTCCTTGACATGTATTTTGAGCTTTTAAGGAAGGTGGGGGGAGGGAGGGGATGGGAGTGGGGAGGTGAGCTGGGAGGGTTTTCAGCTATCCATATCTTTACCTGGCTGTGAGTTTTCTAGTCTCCTCTTCCAACAGCTGTTCCTTGTCCCTGAGGTTAGTCTTCAAGTCATCAGATGCTGCACACTAAGAACACATCAAAGAATTCATTGTACACAAAATGAGGAACAATAAGATCTAACTGTCAATTTTTATTGAGGATGATGAAACAGAAAACAAGAGATTGTGTCAGAGATTTTCTGACCTACCTCATTCTGATAGTGTGTTGTCATTGTGTTAAGCTGCTGCTCCAAATCTGAAAGCTGGGAATTTTTGGTTTCAGAAGTGGCCTGGATCTAACAATGAAAAACAACAATAAGAAGTGTTTGTTGTGAAGTATCTATAAAGCTTGTTTAAAACTGACCTTTCTTCATCTTGACACAAGATGCCCAAGTTGCTCTTTCATACCAAAAATGTGGAAATGATTTTTTTGAATTTTGCAAGCATGAAGGAACTTGCAAAATTATTCTTAATATTCAAAATGCTTTTAAATCATACCATGCATGCCATTACAGTAAAACTCGTTTAGTACGAACACGGATATGGCGAAGTTTTTTGCAATTCCCGGCAAAATCCTTCTCAATTTCTTGTAAAATTTTACGGATATAACAAACTCGGATATAGCGAATTTACGGCTATAGTGAACTCATTTTGTGTCCCCTAGAAGTTAAATATAACAAAATTGATATCTTTTATAGTGAACTCTTAAAGATCTTAATTTCTAAAATATTGAACTGTTAATAATTTTGTAAGACAGTATACATATTTGAAACCCAATTCATTCTAAAACCTTTGAACTCCATGATAAATTTTATAGTTTAAACTTCTTTAAATACATTTAGTAATCATGCTTGAAGGAAAAAAAATTGATATAACGAATTCGTGACGCAAACTTTATCGAATTTGTTATATGGATATAACAAATTATGGATATAGCAAAGTAAATTCGCAGGCTCCAGAACTTCGCTATAACCAAGTTTTGCTGTACATACAGTGTATGATAATTCTGATTCCCTTATTTACACAAATATGATCTCCATACTGAAAGTTTTGCAAATAACATTATCCTAGCAAATATTTCCACAAAAACAATATGCTTCTGATCAAAAGTTACACATTCTACCATTATGGTGAAATATTCACCTACCTTTTCATACTGTGTTTTCACATCATTGAGCTGTTGTTCTTTTTGATGCAGCTGTTCTTGTGCCTGGGACTTGCTTTCTGCAAATGTCTTTTCTAGGTCACTTAACTGTTTTTCTCTCTCTTGGACAGTCTCCTGAAGCTACAGTTATAGTTATGTATATCTGATTTAATTGACTATTTTACTCATTTACTTTTCAAATTTTTGTGATGTCTCTGTTTTCCCCCCAAACAAACAGTCAACTTTTCATAAAAGAAAGTCTTGAAATTCCTGTGTTTAAGAGTACCGGGTAAACCTGAAGGAAAATAAAAAACATTAAATACCTTTTGTAACTCGGCAGATGTTTCATCCAATTTTTTCTGCAGAACTTCCAAGTTTTGATGTGATTTGTTAAGCTCTGAATCTCGACTGTCCAGGGTTCTCTGTAACACTGCAATTTGATTGGATTTCTCCAGTAGCATCTGATTCACAGAAGTGTTCTGCTCTTGGCCCTGTTTGAAAATTTATCAAAATATCTTACTAATGAAATTCTGAGTCCTGTACATTCTCTAATACATGTACATGTACATACAAGTAATGTAAACAGTTATACATGTAATTACCAGAAATTACGTATGCTGTACATGTATATTCAAGGACTGTGAACTCAGTGTCCATATATTAAACAGTATTGTCAAAGTTTGAACTTATTATAATGGAAACAATTTATACAATGTATGTTCGTTCTCAGACAGAATTTGTGAAACACAGTCAAATATGCAAAGACCAGTATGCTTCCTCCAAAAAAGAGGACAAAATTATAGCTTAACAAATAATTTTAAAAATGAATGTTTTAATGAATGTTTAAAATTTTCAACAACTGACCTGTTGAAGGTCAGATTGTAGTTGTTCAAACTGGTTCTCTTTTTGTTGAAGCTGTTGCCTTACAGTCTCCAGTTCCTCATTAACTTCATCAAGGTCAGCCTGAAGCTTGGATAAACTAGTGTCCCTCTCTTCTATAAGACTTTGTGATTTATGTAATTCATCTTTCAGCTTCAAAAAAAAGAAGGCAAAAATTAATCCTTTAATATCTTAATTCCAATTATGCCACAACATTATCTACCAGTCAATACATGTTTTATTTTACAATGTCACTTTTTATGGTTATTACAAGTATAATCACAAAACCTTGGCATTGTAAAGAAACAAGGTGACAATGGACTGACTATAGTTTTAAAACATCAAAACTTAAAAAAATACAAACTTAAGTAAAAAGTAAAAGACTACAAAGTTTTCATATGCCCACTCCAATCATTCATTCTGTATACTAGATAGTATTTGTTACATAATTAAATATATTTATGGATCTCTGAATTTCTCTCAACTCAGCTAATAAAGTGGATAAAAATCTTGGATCCACACCTTATTCTGCTCCTCAGTCAGACTCTCTATTGCGGATTGCTTATCTTTGACTTCAGACATGAGTTTTTCTGAGTATTCAGACTTCTCTGACACTGTTGACTTCAATCTATGTATTGAATAAAATGTACAAAAAAATTGCCATGAAAATACATCATGTACATGTTTCTTAAAATGTATAAAATTTCATGATTTATCACATTTTTAAAATAAACAATTCTGTGACAAACATTTTTTAATCCTTTCTGTAGATTGTACTTACAATTGAACTTCCTCTGATTTTGGAGCGCTGTTTAAGAGAGTTTCCAATTCTGCTATTTTTTCAAGTTTTCTGTCGGGACCAAAAAAAAATTATAAGAAATTTATATAAAAAAACATATTTCCTTTCATTTGTCTATTGATACTTTAATCAACTCCTACCCCTTAATATCTTTCATTTGTCAATTAAAACTTCTATCAACTCCTGCCATTAAATCATTTTTTATGCTTTTCTATCAACTCCTACTTCTTGATCCCTTTCATTTGTCTATTGTTACTAGTATCAACTCATACCCCTTAATTCCTTACATTTATCTATTGATACTACAATCAGCTCCTACCCCTTAATTCCTTAATCTATTGACACTTCTATCATCTCCTATCCCTTGATCCCTTTCATTTGTCTATTGATACTACTATCATCTCCTATCCCTTGATCCCTTTCATTTGTCTATTGATACTACTATCATCTCCTATCCCTTTCATTTGTCTATTGATACTACTATCATCTCCTATCCCTTTCATTTGTCTATTGATACTACTATCATCTCCTATCCCTTTCATTTGTCTATTGGTACTACTATCATCTCCTATCCCTTTCATTTGTCTATTGATACTACTATCATCCCATATCCCTTTCATTTGTCTATTGATACTACTATCATCTCCTATCCCTTGATCCCTTTCATTTGTCTATTGATACTTCTATTACCTCCTATCCCTTGATCCCTTTCATTTATCTATTGATACTTCTATCACCTCCTATCCCTTGATCCTTTTCATTTGTCTATTGATACTACTATCATCTCCTATCCCTTGATCCCTTTCATTTGTCTATTGATACTACTATCATCTCCTACCCATTGATCCCTTTCATTTGTCTATTGATACTACTATCATCTCCTATCCCTTGATCCTTTTCATTTGTCTATTGATACTACTATCATCTCCTATCCCTTGATCCCTTTCATTTGTCTATTGATACTACTATCATCTCCTATCCCTTGATCCCTTTCATTTGTCTATTGGTACTACTATCATCTCCTATCCCTTTCATTTGTCTGTTGATACTACTATCATCTCCTATCCCTTTCATTTGTCTATTGATACTACTATCATCCCCTATCCCTTGATCTCTTTCATTTTTCTATTGATACTTCTATCACCTCCTATCCCTTGATCCCTTTCATTTATCTATTGATACTTCTTTCACCTCCTATCCCTTGATCCTTTTCATTTGTCTTTTGATACTACTATCATCTCCTATCCCCTGATCCCTTTCATTTGTCTATTGATACTACTGTCATCTCCTTTCCCTTGATCCCTTTCATTTGTCTATTGATACTACTATCATCTCCTACCCATTGATCCCTTTCATTTGTCTATTGATACTACTATCATCTCCTATCCCTTGATCCCTTTCATTTGTCTATTGATACTACTATCATCTCCTATCCCTTGATCCCTTTCATTTGTCTATTGATACTACTATCATCTCCTATCCCTTGATCCTTTTCATTTGTCTATTGATACTACTATCATCTCCTACCCATTGATCCCTTTCATTTGTCTATTGATAATTCTATCATCTCCTATCCCTTAATCCCTTTCATTTGTCTATTAATACTTCTGTAAGCTCCTACCCATTGATTCCTTTGTCTATTGATAATTCTATCAGCTCCTGTCCCTTAATTCCTTTCATTTGTCTATTGATACTTCTATTAGCCACAACCCCTTAATCTCTTTTATTTGTTTATTGATGCTTCTTCTCATCCCCTGCCCTTTGACCCCTATCATTGGTCCAGTGATACTTTTGTCACCTCCTACCCTTTATACTCCTCCTCCAGAGCTGTCATTTTCTTTTTCAGCTCCTCCTTCTCTTTTTCTTGCTCCAGAGTCATGTTGTCCATCAGTTTCTGTACAGATATCAATTCCTGCTTTAACACAAGGACATCCTCTGTACCAGGCCTACAAAATTAAACATTATTAGAAGACTGGATGTAATATCTAGTTGCTTGAATAGAATTTCAGTTTTTATTCCTAATCAAGCCCTTGTGATTTTTCTCTTTCTGAATATAATATGAATCCACAGAAACTGTCCTCAAATGAAGTACTTTAGTTTAAAATACATATATATGTACGATGTACATGTACATTTATACACTATTCTGTTCCTATGTGGCAGAGTAGATACACAGTGCATGTGTCTACTGTTACAGTATACTACGTATGATCTAATTCAAATTTTCTGACTACACCAATGCCTTGACACCATTCAGTGTTCATGCAATAACCAATCCTTGTACAGTACTATCACAAGTCCTCTTCAGATTAATATTGGAGCAGCCCTACTACTCTTCCCCTTTAAAGTAAGACAATGCACACAAAAGTACTGAAAAACTTAGACTTATTCTTTATCACTTGGTTTTAAAATGAAAGCTAATTCTTGATATTCTAAAAGAATTTTAATTTGTAAAAATCTCAAAAAGTATGAACTTGACCTTGCATTATGTCTTGGCCTTGACCTTTAAATATGAAAGGATGTACATGATGGATGATTTTATTTATGGGTATCTGGTGTTTTCAGAGCAGGGAGGGTTGTGACTGTTTGAAATGTAGTGGTCCATGAAGTCTTAACAATAATCAGCATGTGATTTTCTGTGCAACATTATGACATTTAATATATAAACATGTATACTGTTACTTTTTTTCCGAGCTGGAAATGAAAAAAAAATCATGCAAGTTCATTTATTTCCTGTGATTAGTAGTACCGTGACATATTACAAAGTATAAATTTCATTCTAGAAGGAACATAGAAGATTCTATTCTGAAGATCGTAAAATTTTCATGACACCTCATTTTCACAAGAACATAATTCGGTATTAATAAGCTAGACAAAAGTTTCATGTACATTGTTCATTGCTGCACATAACTTTTAAAATTTTGATATACCCAAGAATGATATTTTTGCAAGCAGATAGTCTAGCCTAATTATGCCCAAATAAAGTTCTCATGAATAAAAAGTGATTTACAGTAATTAATATATTGAAACTAGGAATACTTTTGATATCATGTGAATGTTTAATATTGAAACTGTAAAATTCATTGATTTTATGAGTTTACAGCTCTAAGCCCAGCTAATAGTCATATAATACCTCTGATTCAGTTGGATTTCCAGATTTTTGATCTGGTCTTCTTTTTGTTCTGCTTGTTGCTGAAAGGAAAATTAATTGTAAAGTAATTTTTTTTTTCAAATTTGAATTTAAAAAAAAAAAAAAAGAATCAATACTAAAATTGAGACTGGGTAATCAAATACGAAGATTAGAATTCTTGATACTGTTTGGTTTGAAAATTAACCTTCAGGGTGAAAATGTGATCTTCATGTGCACCCCTCTGGCTCTCAATCTCATCTGCCCGGGCTTTAACAGCAACTAGTTCTGAAGCCTATCAAAAAGTAGGATTATAGAAAAATTAAAATTAATATCTTAAATGGATATTAAGTCACTTCGATTTATTTTAACCCACAGGGACCGCGGTAACATACTAAGTTTGATTTCTTTTATTGTATATATAGTGATCACGTGAAATCAAGCAAAGTATGTTTCTGGCCCCCACTTTTTAACCTTGGTGTTCTGTAAATAAAATCTAGATGCTTCCATCAATGACATTATAACCATGTAACATTGATGTCACATTTGACATTTACATAATTTGTTATTTTCCTTTTGACAATAAACGTAATAAAAAAATCCTTATAGGAAAATTAAAATCAATATCCTTAATGGATATTTTATGACTTAGTGCATTTCAATTTATTTTAACCTTGGTGTTCTGTAAAACAAAAAAAATTAGATGCTTCCATCAATGACCTTATTAACCATTGATGTCACATTTGACATTCACATAATTTGGAATTTCTTTTTTCAATTTTGAACTGAATTTAAATTAATTAGTAACTAAAATACTCTGTTTTTGAACCCAATATGCATTAGGATGCTCTGCAACTACTTAACAGCTAATTATTTACTACCTTGGGAACAAATTAACTATTTATACACAAAGACTGTCATTGGAGCAATGGATCCTGACATTCTCCATTTTTATCAGATTTATCTCAGTATGGGTGAAAAACACTTAGTAACCTTACGCTCAAGACTGGTAAATCTACTGTTGGTCGTGTGAAAAGTTCACCACAACAAGTCTAATCTTTAAAAAGCATTGCTTTAAAATGAATAAATTTCAAGGTTACTGAGAGTGCACCAAAGGAGCTGACAATGATCCAGTTATACTCAGTAATAAACTTTTCCACAGCTTCTCAAATTCTGTAAATTAATGTACTTATTTTAGTGGTACATGTAATCATATTTTAGTGGGAAAAAACGTCATAGCAGTCTAGCATCTAATCGACAGGTCCAATATCTCACTCTGCGGTCTAACATTGATTTTTTTGGACCACTCAGTAAAACATTGGAAATGTTAGACTTTTTTAGTACATAGTTATATGGGATCAATTTTTAAAGGTATAACAACAGAATTTACTCCATTGCAATTTCTCCTGATTTAGTCAGGAATCTGTCCTGATTTAGTCAGGAATTTGTCTTTCTGTAGTGATTCTTGAGTTAACTCCCTTATCATTTCCTCTGACTTTAACTAACTGTCTCAAGCTTTTGAGAGTGAATCCCTTAAAATGTCTACCATTAAGCCCCCCCCTCTCTCTCTCTCATGCTACAACAGTATAACCCTTTACAATTTCCTCTGATTTAACTCTCTCTTTCTTTCTCTCTCATGCTGCAAGATTTGAAGCCCCTTACATTTTCTTTGGATTTAGTCTAGAGTCTCTCTCTACCGATACAAGAATTAAGTCCCTAATCCTATCCCCTGATTTAATCTAAAATGTCTTCTATATCTCTAGTGTTGCACAAGGTAATTCTCTTACCATTTCCCCCGATTTCGTCTGTAGTCTGTCCCTCTCCAAAGTTACATCCTCCAATTTACTGTTTAACTCGGATACCTTGGTTTGTAGATGGTGAACCTCCGAACTCACTAAAGCAATTACAAGATTCAAGACAAATAAGAAAACCTGTATTAAAGGAAGGTAGGAATCTGATAGTGTATATGACAATGATTCTGTTACACTTTTATTTTTTTGCCACTATTGCAGAAGGAATTCAGTGAAATTAGAATAAATAAAATATGATTGGTTATAGTGACGAGAAAAAAAAAGAAAGAAAAAAAAGACAAACTCAAAGTGGGGTAAAATCTAATAGTTGAATTCATCAACAGAGCATACAGAATCAAGTAGTTGATAGAAATAAATAATGCTGCAGATGCTGTAAAACACATACATGACTAAGAAGGCATATTTACATGTACAAGTTATCTTATTTGGTTTCATAAAGTCATAACATCTATTGTGTCATCTATACAATCTTAGGCAGACTTACACAGAGTTCGACTCTCCTCGGAGCACCTTAGCTGCAACCGATTCATCTCCAGCTCTGATCTTTCCTAAACAATATAAATTTATCGTGTTTTGTTTCATTATCGTATTTACTTATTTTAAAATATTTTCAATTATATATTATATTATATATTTTAATGGTACATGCACTGTCTTCTTTGTTAATTCAATAATATTCATGAAAATACATGAACATGTTTATGAGAGACTCAAATCAAGAATTTCTTCCTCTTCTCTTTTATATTACTATAATGCTAAAACAAACATATACAAACCTGAGCAGATAATGGAATAGCCTTGGCCCCTCCCTCCACTGGAACCTTCCCTAATTCTTTCTTCAGTTCCTCTGTGTACCATCTCTCCTCCTTCAGGGAGGTTTTAAGATCTTCAATTTCTTGCCTCATAGCCAAAACATCCCCATCTCTGCAACATTAAAACACATACACACCTCTTAACACCCAAAATGACATTTCTGAGATAAATATCTAATCTGTGGTTATAACTGCATGGGTAGCCATCTGACTTACACATAATAGTTATTTTGCCTCATATAGTTAGTATACACTGGATATTTAAAATTATTTTACTGTTGAATGTAGTCATTTTTCTTCATCTTTACCTGTTCTCTGATGTCACTGCTTTCTCGTCATGAGTGGAGTCAAAATGGGCCTGAAGCTCCTCTGGAGAAGGTAAAGATTTTTTACAGATGGGGCACAAAAATCCTTCCTGCAAAAATAAAATTGAATATCAAACTTGAAATTGTCTTAACTTCAGCTAGTCAGATTTTAAAATAAGGGCATGCACAATTTCAGTTTACTTTAACTATTACTTCCATGAAAAGTTTACATTACAAATAATATTAGATTTAAAAAATCCTTAGATCAAAGTATTCAAGTTTAGTTATCCCATGCTATTTCTTTTGAATTTCAAGGGAAATATACGCTATAGCTTTACAGCACAAAAATGGTCTACAACAGAGTTATACCCCTTGACTCTGCTTGCTTTCATCATGAGCATCTTCAAAGTGCTTCTGTAATCCTTCAGCTGATTGGAGGGATATCATACAAATAGGACAAACAAAACCCTACAAAGAGTACATTGATGCAAATATAAATATTTTAACATGTACATGTATAATAGAACATCAAAACTGACAGAACTTCAGCATCAAATTAATTCTAAAAAGGTTTTAAAAATATAGCAACTGTTGTAATTTTTTTTTTTTCAACTGCATAAAATTTGATTTTAATTCAATCACTTTTGTGAACTATGGTGAACTTTACTTAATATGTTAAAATTAATCTGTACAAGTCAATTTTTGAAATTCTTTGATTCTATTGAAGTTTTCTTACCTGTGCCTCCTCAGATGAAACTTTCTGGGGTGAGGCTTGCGGAGACTGGAATGTAAATAACAATTCCATCATATTAATCCACAAAGCTATTTATTTCATTTCATTCATTTTTAATACCTGACTAATGCAATTATGTAATACATTAAAATTTCTATCAACAAATTTATTGTTGAATGTTGAATAAATGAATTGTTGAAACTTGAATGTGTTCTACAGACAATAAATCGTTTAATTTTCATATATTGCTTGTCTTTGATCTAACATATGTTGCAAATGACAATTTAGTCTTTGTATGGTCAATTTTAAGATTTGTAGTGTTCTTGTACTAGAGCTTAAATTGCATGAGTAGCTATGCATTTTTTTTATAATTAAAACACAGTACTGTACATGTAGAGTACTTTTTTTGTACATGACACTCTAAAACAACAATAAAGTGGGGTAAACTAAGATTGACAATTTTAAAATCAAGAATATCTTTTTATTAAGTATCAAAAACATTTGCAATTAACATTTACATGTGCATCTGCAATAGTATGCAGCATGCACAATGGAATGGAAAACAAACGAAGGAAGCAAATAAAGCAGTGTGCAGACATATATACAGTATTCAGTTCAGAGTGGAGGCTTGCCAAAATGTATCATTCCCCCCCCCCCCCCCTTCTACAAATTAGTTTCTTGTGGGCTTTAAGAAACCTTATAGCCTTAACGTAAGAAAAGAATAAAAGATTTCCTGAAGAAATTATTAAGTTTGATTGTGATTTGTGAGTGTGTGTGAATAACATTTCCTGATGGATATATAATGATGAGTTGATATTTAGAATACTAAAGTACCAGACCTTTTTTTCATTAAGTACTAAAGGTAATGATAGTAGTTTAAGAATCCTAACAACCAATTAAATACTGAAATTAAACTGTTTTCGAGCCACCCACCCACATCATTATACAAAATATCCCATTCCCAAATCTGAATTCAAGGGGAAATTGAGCCCCCCATTTCCATTTCTGGAATGAACACTGAGTACTTAACCCTTGCACATTTTACACACAAGAAGTGCTTGCCTGATACAGACAAGAAGCTATCTTTGTTGGGAAATTTGCATGCTGCATTGAAAAAGAGAAATGTCCATATGTAGAAAAATACCTTTGAATCACTGCCTTCTGTGGATATCTAATCAAAGAAATGTTTATTCTAAGACAACATATGTTATAATTTTATCATGTTTTGGGAAGTTGGAACAGTGCATTAATGGATGAAGAAAAACCATTAGATTAGTTTGGAGTACCTATATACATGTAGTTTTAACACATTGGCAATACTGAATAAGTAGATCTATAACTTACTTAGTTTACTGCCATTAAGGCTAGATAAAATTAAATTCTTGATTCTCATTCCTGCCTGCTCCTCTCAAAGCAACCCCCACCCCCATTGTTTTTTTTTTATTTTGTTTTTTTGTTATGAAAAGTATTTGTTACATTTTACTCAATAAAAATGGTCAATATTGGTCAATGTCAAAGTTTAAAAGTCAACCCCCCATTTGTATTAAAGGTCATGTGGCACTATTTATTGCACAAGAGCATGTGGAAAAAGGAGAAAAATCAGCAAGAAATCAGCAAGAAAACCAGTTTATACATGTAGGAAAAGATAATCTGCCAGTATAGAGAAGGCAGATAAGGCAAAAATAACAGTTATACATGTATAATATTTTGATGCATCTACCATTAGCATGTTTTTAAAGAGAATTATAGCAAAACAGACGAAGAAATTACACCATCTCATAGCAATCGGCAGTTGTATGTTATTTCATATGAAAAAAGAAGGATCATCAGCAGAACTTAGAGGATAATAGTGTTAAGGAAATGGTAAGGTAAATTCTAAGAACTGTTCAGCATAGGTTATTCTATAGGACATCATAGACACCCTGTCAAGAACGAAAAATCGGATGTTATATGTATAAGGCAGGGGTTGAAAAATATGGTAGCCCAACATCCGAGACTAGTCATTTTATAATAAGACTTGGGCAATCTATTTTTAAAGTAATGATAGTCCGCCGGAGTAGCAGACCAGAAAAAAAATTCTTGTCAGTTTACTCTCAATTTCTATGTAGACTAGTTTCTTTTAACTGAGAACTACTTTAATTTGTTTCTGTCACCAAAGTCTTTGAAACTTGTATTTGTGCTATGTTTTCAATCTGCATAAAAATTGTTGGGCTAGTTAGTTTGAAACTGAGAATCTTCTGTACTAGATATTTTTAAATGAATAAACAATTAAATCTATCCATGTTGGCATTAACAATGTTAGGTATATGTCGATATATTCTCAATAATAAAAAAATACATTCTACCCACTTTCCCCAATTTTTAAGCAAACTGGAATGAGAAAGTTTAAATTTATGTGGCCTAATACGTGGCCAGTTTACAGGCACAGTTTAGGTACTAAGCAAGCTTTGCGAATAAAAAATCAATTTAGTTTGGATGACAAATAAACTTCTTTTAAAGTTATGACAAATAAACATTTTTTATGTGGACGACAAATATACTTCTTTTACGTAGATCTACATATTATGCCATACTTCACAAGGTTACACTGATATAGTTATCTCAAAATTTAGTGAAGTGCAGTCAGTTAGTGAAAACTACTTTTACACAGCCCAAGACACTCCCCCTTCCAAATCCAAAGCGCGCAACTTAATTTTTACTTATCTTAAACTTCATATTCATTGACCAGCATCTAAATATACCTTTTCATTTTCCTTTCTGTTTAACAACCTTTTAAACATCTTAACTGCATGAGACTACAACAAAAAGGTGACTTTCCACAGTTTACTTTTCCCGGAAGTTGTCAGTTCGTTAAACTGGTTCTTGACGAGAAAAAATTCTTAAGGAGAGAAGACCAATTTATTTGGAAACTGCGCCCTCTCGTGGCAGCTGACGATATTATTCATTTTCAAGGAGAGCAGACATCATCATGCTGGCCTCAACAGTTCACAAATTTCGGGTAGATAAGTTGGTAAATCTAATATGTAAAAGTGTTTGCTGAAGAAAGTTACTCTGAACAGAATAGCGCAATGCTATAGTTTGTTCTGTACATCCGACCAAATTATGGCAAATGTTTATAATTTACACAATTTCTAATACAAGAATTTATGTTGAAGAAAACAATATTCTAAACAAGTGTTAGAGCTATTGTGAGATACTGTTGTGGTTAGAATGTTAGGTCAAAACTTGCAACAGTCTTAAATTACCTCTTAAGACAAAGTTTACATGTTTGGTTCGAATTTCCTCTGATATCAGGAATGCTTACGAACAAGAAGTCAAACAACTATTTTTGTTTGGTCCTTTCCTTTCATTGTCACTTTGATTTGACAGATTGGTTCTAGCAGAGATGTGATCAGGTGTTTGACAGCACAGCACAGAAAATACTCAAATGGAGGTAAAAGTGAACAGATTTACATGACATTATGTATTATATTTTTTTAAAAAATGTTTTTAGATTTAAATAGTTTACAATATATCACAGAATTATGATAATTTGATCATTATGCAGATTTTGTTTTGTGTACCAAACTTCTAATATAACACTATCATAGATGAGTAAATCACTTTTTAGCAATGGACATACAGTAAAACACACTTATAATGAAATCCCAGGCTTAGTTTACAATATATTTTAAAGCCAAAGAGAATGAAAATCACTTCGCTGTAAGCGTCAATTCATTATAAGCATGTTTGCTATAAGCGTGTTTTGCTGTATTTGAAATTTTAAATATATACAAGATTGACTACTTGTTGCAAGCTTTATTGAGGAATGAAATGGCAATTTGTTTTCTTTCTAAGTTATACGTTTGAATCTTTCATTCCTGCATTTAATAATTTATAGCTGATAATGACTTAGTGGTAATTGGTTCTGGTCCAGGGGGATATGTGGCCGCAATCAAAGCCGCTCAGCTTGGAATGAAGGTATGGAATGCCACGGTGTTTTGTTTATTAATTAAGAATACAAAAAAAAAAGTAAGAGTTTGTAAACAAATGTCAGTATAAATGTATTTAGACTAAACCAAGGAACCAGAACATTTGTCAAAGAATATTTTAGTTTAAATTTCAATATATATTAATTTGGTGTTGAAAAGATATATAGAAAACATTTTCATTTTCATTGAAGTCTGAATAACTTGAAGACTTTGTATTATAGACAGTTTGTGTAGAGAAGAATCCAACACTAGGGGGCACTTGTCTGAATGTAGGCTGTATCCCTTCCAAAGCGCTCCTCAACAACTCACATCTGTACCACTTAGCCACATCTAAAGATCTCGATAACAGAGGAATTGAATGTTAGTGCACATAAAATATATTACTGTATATAAACAGAGGACATTTTGTTTCTGTTGTTATGAAAACTGTCTGTATTATGCATTTATAATATACAGCGTATATGTATAAGTTGAAATGTAAATATTTGACATGAATTATAAATGTTTGACAGCGGCAAATTTGGAATTTTATTATAATATTTAAATGCAGGCTTTCTTTCCTTCTCATAAGGTTTATTATTTGTATAGTTCTACATGTCACATGCATGCAAGGGGATGGCTGCATGGGTAATCTAATCCGTTCTAAAAACCTTTTTCACCACAAGCATAGTGGGCTGTATCTTTCTTAGAATTTACAAACCCTCCAAATTTTTATCTGCCTACTTTTGCCAGTGTCAGTAACTTGGATCAAATTTTTTTTTCTAAAAAATCTCTTTTTTTTCTTTCAGTTGATGGCATTCGTCTAAATCTTGCAAAATCTATGGCCACCAAAGAAAAAGCTGTAAAGGGACTTACAGGAGGAATAGCTCATTTATTTAAACAAAACAAAGTAAGAGATTTACATATTTGAATTAAAAAAAAATAAAGATTTGTGTAGGTAAAGTACTCTGTTATGGATTTATCTTTCGTTGAGGTTCATTGACCCTTCGATAAGAGAAATAACTCTCACTTGGATAAATGACAATTATTCCTTTATAAGATTGTTAAGCTCAAATTTTGGCCCAATGGGTTTGATGAAATTGTGTGCAATTTAATTACAAACTAGATTACTTTTGGAAAGTCATAAGCATTAAAGCACAGTTTTATATGACTAACCAGAGGGATGAAAAATCTTGAAGGCTTCAGTGTTAAGGTGGTCATAATTAATTCATTACAAACAAATAAACAATCATTTCACAAGTTGATCATCTTTTTCATTACAAATACAAGGTGAAGTCATGTGATTCATTATTTTTCATGACAGGTTACAAGAGTAGATGGATTTGGAAAAATCACAGGCCCAAATGAAGTGACAGTAACCAAGGCAGATGGGACAGAGGAGAAAATCTCCACTAAAAACATTCTGATAGCAACAGGATCTGAAGTTACCCCATTCCCTGGGGTGGAGGTGATTTATAATCAAAAGTGGACACAATTTGTAAAGGGGGGGGGGTGCTAATTTTTACAGAAAATTCATATTCAGGTATTGTCAAAGATAAATTTTGTCTTCCATTGGCATATTCTAGTCAACAGACAAAAAAATTGCTTTTCCAAGAGTAAAAAGTGTGTAAAATATATAAATATAGAAAGATATACCTGTATTTCTATACTTCAGAATTTGTTACGCTGATAATAGAAATCATAATTTAATAATAACTAGATGCTTAGTCCATATTCATATGTTGTACATGTCTTCATGGAATGATTTATTGTCTACAGATTGATGAGAAAACAATAGTGTCATCAACAGGAGCTCTGTCACTGGAGAAAGTTCCAGAGAAGATGGTGGTCATTGGTGCTGGAGTCATTGGAGTAGAACTGGTAAGTAGCATGCTGTAATAAAATGGGGGGAAGGGTGTTTTGTTTTTACTGGAAAGTGAGCAGAAAAGAAGTCTCTTATGAATTGCATTTTGTCCCGTTCTTGAGAATATGGTGAACCCGAGAAAATAGTCGTGATGTGGACATTATTATAGAGGAAAGGTTTTCTCTAATATAATTAACCATTTCTACATCAGTTTCTTTGTTCTTTAAGCCTTATTTTAACTTCAACATTGCAAATTTAACCCCTGTCCATGGGGTCTATCCCACTGATCCTTGAAGTAAACAAGAAATGATAATTTCTTATTTATGCACTGCTTTTATCTTAAATAGAAATGCTGGCAAATTAATGCATACAATTTTTTCTTATAATTGGAGATTATTATCTGTAATTTTTCATGATAAATTATTCCTTGTAAGTATTAGACTTTTTGGAAAAAAATCATACCTTGTTAAATTTTTTTAGTCCTACTGCAGAATGAAATTGATTTTCTTATGCTTAAAATACATGTACATTTACACTGTATGTCATTACCAATTAGTTACCGCGGTATGATATATATACCTTTTTAGTGCAGTAGCACTGAAGTCATGTTCAACTTGCCCAAATTACATTTTTCAATTTGCAGTTCTATAGATATTGATAATGTACTGTTCATGTTTTTTTTTAAATTGTAGTTTTTCACTGACAATTTCATTAACAAAGTAATCATTACTTGTTTGTTTCTCTAGGGTTCAGTGTGGCAGAGATATGGAGCTGAAGTCACATGTGTGGAGTTTTTATCAAATGTTGGAGGTGTAGGAATTGACTTAGATGTCGCCAAAAACTTCCAACGCATCCTCCAGAGACAGGGGCTGAAGTTCAAAATGGACACCAAGGTCACCAGTGCCGCTAGGGCAGGGGACAAGATTAAAGTGGCCATTGAGGGAGTGAAAAATCAAAAACAAGATGAGGTAAATTTATTTGTACATGCAGTACAGTATTTTGGTCAAAATCTTTTCACAAGTATTGTAACTTGTGGCCAAAAAGTCAAATTAGATGTACTTGAATAAGTTTTTTCTGACATTATTAAACCAGCAATGAAAGGGACTTGGTCTTGGAGTGACATTTCTATGTCTATACCTGAAGAATTGTGTTGAATAGTTTTAATAAATTAGTAAATCTCATTAGATGAACTTGTATGGCTATATGTAAGTACTTAAATTTAAAACTAAGTTTTGTAATGCAGCACAGATATTTTGAAGTTATAAGAGGACATGTACTCTCAAATTTAACTGAGGGTAAAAGAACATGCAGAATTTTTTTTTAAAAAAAGAATGCAGAAAATATTGATAACTTTGAAAGTATAATCTGTTTTTCAGTTAGAGTGTGATGTTTTACTAGTCTGTATAGGAAGGAGACCATACACAAACAATATTGGTTTAGAAGATCTAGGAATTCCCAAGGACAACCGAGGAAGGATTAATGTTAACTCCCGATTCCAGACTGTGGTGCCAAGGTTAGGTGTATTTAATGCTTGTATATACTTTATGTGTATGCTTATAAGGCTTTACATTAATTATTAAGTTTTAATCTCCTATTAAGTAAAACCTGCAAAAAGCAATGAGGGGAATTAGTTTTATTTGTAAATTTAGAAGAAAAGCAGAAATAGTAAGCAAGATACATGTAATTTGATCAAACTGATCTATTTAGATTAATTTGAAAATTCTGTATTTTTTTTTTTTTTTTGGAGGGGGGGGGGGGGGGGGAGTAATTGCATCATAATCCAAAATTTCTTTTAAAAAGTGTGATCTCTGTATTACTATGTATTTTTGCATTTACATGTATATCATATTTCAATGACTTGAATTAATCTGTTTTAGCATTTATGCCATTGGTGACTGCATTCAAGGACCAATGCTGGCACATAAAGCAGAGGATGAAGGTAAAATACTGAGATTTCTCTTATGATGAGGAATAAGACACACATGTACAAACATGTACATTA